AAGATGCAGTCCCATTCCTTCCTCTTTGCAGCATTGTCCTACAACTGCCATCTTGTCAGTCCCAACTTCCCGCTTTCTTATAAAGGCTAGATAGAAATGCCCAGGTAGATTTGGGGAAGAGAAGGAGAAAGTGACCAGAGGTGCTATGAAAAGCCTTCAGATACCTCAACACACAACAGTGTCCCCACCAGGACCAAAGGAATTTGCATTTGTGAGGAATCTGGCAAATGCAAGTGCTGAGTCCTCTTCACTGTGGTCCGGGGTCAGAGTGTGTTTGCTGAACTTTCAGTATTGTCTGTGTTGACCCCATTCCAGATGGAGTATGCATCTTATGCATGCAAGGTCAGAATTTCTGAACAGTGAGATGGAGCCACATTGTGTCTGCTTGGTTCTTCTAGGTGTTGACTTGTAGGGCAGTTAGTTCTAGTTAAGATTCATTCCCTGAGAAAATCCTTTTCTGTCTCCATTTTTGTTAAAGAATCTCTCATAGTTTTGTTTCCTTGCCCTGCCCACCTCCTCTGTTTGGGTAACTTTCTCACACAGTGGCTGTCTACAGTGTGGATTATTCCCCTCAGTTGCTCTTTCTCAAGGTGCTTCTCAACCTTCCAGCTGTATTCTACCCAGACCTTTCTTTTTAACCTTCTGTTGTAGGCTAGGCCACCATCAGGATTAGTTATCTGGGAGACATTGGCTGTCCACCTTGCTCTGCCCCCATCTCCTATGGGGGCAGGGGAGCCGTAGGAAGAGCAACCCCTGTCGCATCCCCTGGCTGTGTAGCACACTTCTGCATGCTGTTGCAGTGATTTTATAAGCACTCTGATGAGGGACGGGCACAGTAGGTGGTTGCATGTTTGTCTGTGGTCTAAAGCATTCCACATTTTATGTGCTTCACATCAGACTGGAATTTGGAACACTTCAAATGTAAGCTTGTTAAAGGCCACAGAGGTTACCAGGTTTCTATCTGTATCATGGCCTTAAGATGGCAGTCCTTCAGACAAAGAATGGCCACTCACTAGTCAACAACAACCTATCGATTATCTTCTAAGAAAGAAACCCAGTTTCTCTCAAAGGAAGCCAACAACTTCTTTGTCCAACAACTATCCTACACCGTCACCAATGCAACATGTTTAACAGAAAGTTGGGCATCAACCAAAAGAGACCAGAACCATCCCTGAATCCTCTATTTTTGGTACTGTGTATCCCTGATTTCCCAGGCTTGGCCTGGAAGAGACATTGATAAGTGAGCACTAGAAGTTATTTCTTCTGTGTACCCAGTCTCATACCCACCTTGTTTTTCTGTCTGCCTTCAGGAATTATTCGCACATAAAACAATTGAAAGGCAATGCAGCTGCCTTGCTTTGCCTAGAAGTTCCAGAGAAGATCTCTCTGGAATTCAGAAAAAGAGGTTTCTACTGATGATGTTTTCTTATTCTGAAGAAAAAGGAGGCATATTTGTTTTGCCCTCACATCTGTATGCCACTTCAGATTCAGGATGGCAACACTTACTTCAACATGCATTTTTACAGGCTCAAGATAATTTGTGACTCTCACTTTGGAAGATGCACACTTCTATATTGCAACCTGGCTCAGTGTTTTTATTTTCCATTAGGGCCCAACTATTAATCAGTTCCTCCAGTTTCTCTCTGAGCAGCACACAGAGTCTTCATAAAATGCATGCATGTAGTAGTACGGAGACAAGGCATTCGTGGCAATCTGTATCTAGATGATTGGCTTAGTAGAGGTTGGTCTCATCAAGATGGTTCCACAGCCCTAAATGCTGTCCTTGACCGGTTCAGAGAGTTGGGCTTGATAATAGACAATACAAAAATATTGCCCAATTATTTACTGACAGTAGACTTAAAGGAACTCTGATAAAACTAGATGGACAAAGGCTTGCCTGTCAAAGGCAGACATTTCAGCTTATCAAGACTAGCATCTCCAAAGGCAAGACAAATCCATAAATCACAATGGGAACCTCTCTCAGATATATCAGGCATATAAGCCATATTGTCAGTTTGCAAGTACATAACTAGACTTCAACTACACATATTACACAACTGGCTGAAGTCAGCATAGTTCTCTGAGACATCAAATGGACATGCATTTTAGAGTCCTAGCTGCTATCTGGTTTTTGCAAAGTGTTTGGAAAGTAATCTGCTCCACTTTATTTGTAAAAGCACTGATTATGGCACCCCTGAAACATGATGGGGACTCATCTTTACCATCTCCAAAAATAGGGGACTTGGTCCTCAATGGAGGTAACACTCCATGCAAACTTCTTGGAAGTCAGGAAATCAAATAAGTTTACAAAGCCTTCCTGGTGACTGTAAAGACCTCTACCAGACAGATCATAATAGACAACATGCTTGGGTTGTAGAATATAAACAAACAGGGAGATGCCTATTACTCACCCCTATGTCAAGAGGCATTCAAACTACAAACATGGTGTTAACTGTCTGGGGTAACCCCAATTCCTCTTCCATATCCCGGGTGCAACCATTTGGAAGATTTTCTCAACAAACAATCTGTCACGAATCCTAAATGGTCTCTGGAGAACTCTGTCCATAGATTGTATTTCACCAATGGGAAGACCTTCTTATAGATTTGTTCACTGCAAAAATAATTTTCCTTATGACTACTGAACCAAAATGTAAATTGGTTCAGATAGACTTGAACTTTTTTTTTTTCCCCAGATTTTTGGCAAACATATCTTCTTCGAAGATCAAATCAGTTTCTGAAATCACTCCCAGACTGTCCAGACACAGTAGCTCAGAACCATGATCATGTATTTTTTGCTGACTTGAAATTAGTGTTGGCTGGTTAAGTGCTATTGACAAAAACTATTTACTACTGGCTTGGGGTCCTGGGTATAAGTGAAAACTGTACTGGGAGCCTAGATAAAAAGGGGCCAGTTGATCTCTCAAGATGTGATTTGCATTAGGTGAAACCAGAGAAGCTGGATTGGCTGGAAGCTGAGAAATTATTTGACAAGGGCAGTCCAGGATATAGGAGGACCTAGTACTGACCAATATTGGATCAGGAGGGGAGATCTGACCAGCAGAGGATCGGTTACCTTATCCATTAATTTGAGTTGAGTTGCGCTTGTGCTTTAGTTGATCCAGACTTTACCAGAAATAGACTCTGTGAAAGACCCAGAGATTGGAGTGAAGAGCAGATCATATAGGTGATTCTTGATAGTTGAACAGTGATTCACAAGTATGTCATCTGGGTGAGTAAAGGACCAGGGTGTAGGG